CTCTCCCCTTCATTATTCTCTCCTTCCTTCCTTCCTTCCATTTCTCTCCCCTTCATTATCCTCTCTTTCCTCTCTCTCTCCCTCCCTCCCTCCTTCTTTCCTTTCTTCCATGTCTTTCTTCATTATCCTCACCTTCCTTCCTTCCATCCATCCATCCACCCATCCAATTTAAGCAATAAACAGCGTGGCTAGCCAACCAAACAGGGATAACCAAACGGATACCCTACAGACAGTATATCCTGGCGTGCCATTAAAAACTTTTAACAGTGGTCAACATTTCCTACCCTTTTCCTAGCCTCTCTTGGATTTTATAGAAGAGGTTCTTTAGGGGTTTTTTTTTGGTGTTAAGTATAAGATTATGTTCTTTACACCACCCTGTCTTCCCTTGTACTTACTTTTCAAAAGCAGGCTCATTGTTCTTACTAACGAGCCCCACCACTGTCGTGTCGTCTGCAAATTTAATAATTGTGTTGGTGTTTCGCAATCAGGTGGCTGCCACGCTCAACAACTTGGCTGTCTTGTACGGGAAACGAGGAAAATATAAGGAAGCCGAACCTCTGTGCAAGAGGGCCCTGGAGATTCGCGAGAAGGTATTTGTTCTGCTTCTTAAATTTGCACGCCGCCCGTTTTATTGTCAAAGCTACTCTGGGCGACTTCTTAAGTCTCGGAGATCCTTGGCAAGAACAAAAAATATTTTGGGTGGGGGAGTCGAAGGGACAGGCTGAGGGTGTCTGTAAAATATCTCGAGTGCCACCTTCTTTCTCCTTCCAGGTGCTTGGAAAGTACCACCCCGATGTAGCCAAACAGCTGAACAACCTGGCCCTCCTTTGCCAAAACCAGGGGAAGTACGAGGAAGTCCAGTACTATTACCAGCGGGCCCTAGAGATCTACGAATCCCGCCTGGGCCCCGACAATCCAAACGTAGCCAAGACGAAGAACAACCTGGTGAGTTGGCGCTTTGAGAGAGTCAGAGAGGAGGAGAAGAGCTAAGAAGGAAACAGAACACCAGACAAACAGTCAAGCAGACAGCAATCACCTTAATCGAGGAATTTGCAAGGAAATTTTTTTTTCACCCACCAAGCTTAGCAGGGCACACTGTGGTGTATAAACAGGCAGCAAACCCCACACTCCCTAACACTGTTGATGTTACCTAGTTGGGTAAACAAACAAGGAAACACACTGTTCCTTTAAAGGGGAATGTTAGCTCGGGGTTGAAACGAGGGGGTCTTAGGTGCCCTCTGAGCTTGTTGGTTTTCTTGCAGACGTTTCGTGACCCAACTTGGTAACATCATCAGTACTAGAAGGGAATGTGGATTGGGCTGTCCTTGGATGCCCTCTTGAGTTTGATGGTTTTCTTGCCGACGTTTCGTGACCCAACTAGGTAACATCATCACTGCTAGGGTTATGAAATGCCCTGCAAGAAAACAAGGAGGCTCAGAAAGCACCAAGGACTCTGCACTCCTCTTCCTCCCTCCTCTCCCCCCCTCCTCCTCCACTCCACAAACCCTTCTCCCTTCTACCACTGATGATGTTACCTAGCTGGGTCATGAAATGTCTCCAAGAAAACACCAAGAAGCCCACACCGTTCCTTAAAAATATAACTTACTCTTGAGCAGCTTGGGTGCAAAGTTTTCAAGGCAGTTGTGATGGCATCGTTATATTAGTTTCACCATTTTTTAATTGCTTTTAAAAATATATATATATAAATATTTTTTTTATATATTCTCGTAAGCTGCCTTGAGTCGCCGTGTGCGAATAGGCGGCAA